CTCCTGTCAGACGTTCAGACGACATCCACCTGTCCGTCTTTCAAGGCCCAACAATGAAGGAGGGGAAGTATACCATCATCTTCGTGTCGATTGCTGTGATTTTGGACGTCGCCGGACTTATCCTCTTCTTTGTTGGGATCTTTGCACCTTTGAGTTTCTGGGACTTTTTTGTGCTGTCCGGACCTTTGCTGATCTTCATGAGTACGTTTTTTTGGATATTCTGGTACATGGGGAACATCAAGGTGTCTGACGAGGAGCTCAACCTGCCCAAAAACGACATACTGTGAGACAGTATGTGTGAAGCAGGGCTGGCCGAGCCGGACTCCTTCAACCCAGCAGCACGATGATGAGGAAGGGACTGAAGGGACAGATTGAAGCAGAAGCTTCGTCAACAATCATGAATTTGTGAGCCTGGCACTCCTTGAAGTTTTGCCTCAAGTGAAGGATGTGTGATAAAACCAAATCCGGGCACGACCAGGAACACATTTGACTAATCCCAGGAGATAAAAAGAACTCTTTTCCACCCTTACGACTTCAGGGTAAAACAACTTGTCATGTTGTATGTGGACAGCATTGATTCCTGGACTTTGTTGGAGTGGAACATTTATTTCTCAGCACTTTCATTGGAAGGAAACTTTTAAAAATGTGTGAAACTGTATGCCTTATGTATGTTGTTATCATGTACATTATGATTTGATATTTATATTTCAACATATCTTTGCACATTCATGTTAGATGTATAAGCTTTTGGAATTAGGGACTAAACATGCTTTAAAATGACTTGTGTTGTGATCTTTGTTGTGTGTTGTTGGGCTGCACCTCTATAAGAACTGGCCAAACAGGCACTGTAGGTTTCTGCTCTGGGTTATTGGAGTCTTTAGTACAGAGTTTAACAGGAAGAATGAACATCTCTCTCACACAAGCAAAATCACTAAGGTATCCAGAAAGACAGGAATCATGATCATTCACAAAGCAAAGAGGCTCCAACTAGCAGAGATTTGAAACCATGGGTATTTGATTTCATTACAATAATATATCCACATATGTAAATATCAGCTGTAACACCTGTAGGCCTAATATTGCATTTATGTTTGTTAAAACCTGTTAGCAAGCAAGCACAGATGCTTTAGGTAGTTAAAATGCATCCATAAGGCGTAGATTTAATTAGCCAAAAGGATTGGAAAACAGTAAGCTAAAAGAAGGCTAATGGAAACAGATGAAAAAGTCTGCTAAAAATAATTGATAAACAGTTGAAATAGTTAGTTAAAATTATTGCATAAACTGTATAAATAGTTAGCTAAAATAAGACATAAACCGTGAAATGATAAGCTTATATAATGCATCAACTGTTGAAATAGTTAGCTTAAGTTAGCTACAAGTATTGGTATACAGTTGAAAAAATCTGTGAAGTAATGCTTAAACTGTTTAAAATGTTAGCTTAAAGTTATGGATAAACAATTGCAATAGTTAGCTAAAAGTCATGAATAAATAGTTGAAATATGTAACTCAAAGTTAGCTACAGTAATGGATGAACAGTTAAAAAGGTCTGCTAAAATTATTGGATAAATCGATGCAAGAATAGTGTAACATTGGGGTTTAAGGTGTGTATCTACTGTACTGGCGCGTTCTGTAATTTAGCAATAGGTTTTCCCTCAAAAGAAAACCAAAGCTCTGCGAACTGAGCTTCAGTTTGTTCACCACAACAGCCATTGAGAAGAATGAAACTAATACCTCCCTTCCACGCCCAATTCTTCCCAGGCTTAATCAGCACTCAAGGCACCATTAGCCCCCTCAGACATGGAGAGTGTTATTAATGTGTCCATTTGGTTCCTGCCCCTGAGAGAGGAAATGGAGGAGAGGCGTAATGGGGCTCTCTCACTGCAAAGAGATGGAAACCCTGCTGCTCAGCCCCTCCTCCCCCGCGGGGTGCCGCCTTCTCCGTTGTGCTGAAATTCCCAAGTTGTCTTGATGGTATACATCTCATTATAATCTTAATCACAACTGTACTTGTCAGTGCATAATAGCATCTCCAGTGATATACATGGCATTATGAGAGGCTCTACTTTACAAGAGCATGAGGCTCAGATACACTTCCTGGTTGGTTACAGCCTTAATCAAATAACACAGCATGATGAAGCATTTTGTCGGCAATGCTGAGAAAACATAGGTCATGACTCCTAATCCTGTGGTTTTAAAGAGCTTTAGCTAATAGTTTATTCCCATTAGCTGTGCTACAATTCCTACTCAAAAATGGGACTGACTGTCACCAGTGGAAAAACCACCAGTACACAGGAAGTATAATAAGAAACACTTATAAATGTTTTAAGTATTAATATTTTAGATGTGGCTTTATTTATTAATCTTGATACAAGAGATAAGAAGGGATGAGATCAGATAATAGTTTGAGAAAAAAAAGGATTTAAGGGGAAATGTACTTATTAAAGAAGCTCAAGTTTTGAAAAAAGCAGGGCTAAAAAGCAATAAATAAAAAAGATGCAAGATAAGACACAACAAATTACAAAGATATTTGCATAATACTCTTACACTTTTACAGATATGATCCATGAGGGATAATGGTACCCATAAATTGTATTCACACGATGTGTGACATTGTACTATGATAGGATAGAGATATTCTGTCATGTTAAAATGGTAGGTGAGACAATAGCAGGGTTATGATATGATATGCTATCATGTGTTAAAAGTTCTGCCATCGGTATATGAATGATTACCAGAGATTTGTAATACAAGAACTGCCATCAAAATACTTTCTTCAAGTAATAAATCTGAGGTGTGTGAATGTATAAGGATATGTCTCATTAGGGAACTTGTATTGATAGTATCCATACCTTTCAAATGCTTTTCACAATAAGCAGATAAATACTGGTACACGTGGCTGTGGGCAGATAAATCTGTCTTTAGGCATGTGATGAAGTGATGATGTTCATTATTCTGCTGGTGCACACTACCTCAGCTTAAAAGCTTAAAATGGCTGGTGATTTTGTGATGTCATCTTTGGAGGATTGTGGCGGTGCATGTCTCCCTCCAGTGGAGAAAAGTTAGAGGTGAATGATGCCCTTCAACCATACTATGATTAAGTAGATATAATCTTCTAAAAATAAAATACTTTACTTAATTAATGTAATTGATTTCATATGTAGGCCTAGTATTGAAATAATTGATGAGCATCATTGAAGTAGTATGTTTTCATATCTTTGCAGTTGTACAAAATAATTCTGTATTTTAACTTAATGCAATAATAAAATGTGGGGTAATAACAAAGAATATTTGTAACCAATCATTAATATGTAATTATTTTCCGCGATTGATTAGTTATTCTCTTAGTGTATGACATGTGAAAAAGTTGTGAGAATGCCAAAAGCTATTTCTTCAGATGCTTGTCTGAACAAACTTCATAAATATAATAATGATAACAATATTATTAATGAATTAACAATATCAAAAACAGGCAAAAGCAAGCCGTTTTTGATATTTTTAATAACTGATCATATAGCTTTATAATTGATGACAATTTAATGTATAACTATAAATGGACTCATATTTTTGTTTTAAGTGGCAAAGTATGTCACATAAATCTTGTGTATCAAATTGCTATATTAAAGGTGGGGTAGGTAATTTTGGAGAAACCAGCTCGAGTGTGCTAGAATTTGAAAATACACAGCCGGAAAAAATCTCCCACTTCCTTACAGAGCCCCTCCTCCTCCAACACACACGAACGCGCACATGACCAATGAGGGCACGAGATACATTTGTGCACAGATGGAAGGCTGACAGGCAGGTAGGCCATCCAGTTATTTTAGCCGGGCCGGCTAAAATGATTGGTCGTGCTTTTTACAGTACTACGGCTTCCACAGATTAAATGGATTTTTTGTCAAAGCACTTAAAATATTCATTGCTATCAGGATGTTAAGAGCATTCCATGGAATATAACAAAAAGTGTATCTCGAGCCGGTTTCTCAAACTTACCTACCCCACCTTTAATATATTAAATAAAAGCTTTTGACACACGGCTTTCCCCTTTCTTTTAGTTATATACGTTTTGCCTCAATAAGGATTCAGACCATGTTACTCTTGTAGTTCTCTATGTGGAAATGTTTTCTGACCTACAAACTAGAATGTACCATGAAATAAATGTATTATTTTGATGTTGACTAACCTTGGTTTTGCATTCATGCTGCATTCAATGAAACCAATCAGTTAGCGCGTGATCATTACTTTACTCTTTACTCGCCATGGCTGTTATCATCTGATGTCTGCTTGCACGCGCGCACACACCACTTCCGCACAGACAGTGTTTACAAACAAGTGGCCTACAGATGGCAGGGTCACTCACCCTTATGATAACAAGGCCTGCAGACAGGACAGCTCAGGATTATAAACCTGCAGCCCCGACAAGAGAATATAAAGCCTCAATCTTTCTGTCGGGAATAAAACATTTGTTTTTAATGAGGAATCTTTTAAATTAATTTCTGTATTCAGTTCAAAATGACAATATGCTGCAAAGGGGGCAACGTGCAAAACGTGTCATTGATTCTGTAGTGGAGGAGGAAGACCATCATGCAGTGTGGCTTTGCCCTGCTGCGACGTAGAGACTGAAGGGAGAATTGATCCTGCAAAATAATCTCATACATGCGGTAGTTTGTGAGTTTTAATACACGATTGGATGGTGATATCGATGCATTATTGTAGATTGTCGATAATTTCTCTCTGTAGTGATTATTGTGACAGATTGCACGTGTAAACCGGTTGATCCACTCCTTTCCTGCTTTGGTGAAAAAACCGTACACGCCACTTCTTGCTTCTCACCAAGCAGCATATGCGCTACTCCCCAACCGACCTTGAATCTGTCCTCAGATTAATACTCACGCGTGATTTGTTGCATTCGCAGGGCTGCACCGGCTTCCTGTATTCTGATTGGTGGAGCGCGCTGTCAGTAAAAGCATATCCGCCTCTTGCTCTGTTTGGTTGGAGCTCTCTGCTACCCTTTCTCTCGGCGGTGGGTCGGAGCCGCTGTCCCTGGCCTCGCATGTTCCCCTCTAAATTCCTGTTTTCAATTTGATGCCCCTATTGTACATTTGATCCATTTAGACCCTTCTGTTAGGCCACAGTCGGGCGTCCATACACCGTTTTTTATTTGCCCCAGTATTTGGCATTTTGAGACTTAAACACGAACATGGCCGTGGTGAGCGGATCGTCTGGGCCGGTTGCCCGGCTTGAGGGCCGTGAATTCGAATACATGATGAAAAAGCGCTCGGTGACCATCGGGCGGAACTCGTCTCAGGGCTCAGTGGACGTGAGTATGGGCCACTCCAGCTTCATCTCCCGGAGGCATCTGGAGATATTCACCGCCAGCGACGATGGCACCGGCAGCGGGGATTTTTACCTGAGGTGTCTCGGTAAAAACGGGGTGTTTGTAGACGGAGTGTTCCTGAGACGGGGCGCCCCTCCTCTGCAGTTACCACGAATGTAAGTTTCCCCTCTCAGCGAACATGTGGATGCTAGCGCTAGTAGCCGAGAAGCTAAAGTTAACAGTCAACAACATTGGGTTGATAGTGGCTAGCAGGGTTGAGAGCACCACGTGTTTTAGCATGTTAGCAAGAACTCCGCATCCTGTTCCCTATGCCATTTTCTTTGTTGACATTTTTGTTAGCAACAGTGTGAATTGCCGACTGCCTTCACCCCACATTCCCTCCTGTGGTTATCTTTGCGTTAGCCGCATTCCACTGTGTCTGTTTTGGTGGCTACATAGCCAAAATAACTAGGCTAGCACACAGCTTTGGCGACGCTATTGTTGATATTGACTAGTAGCAGCTTTTTCTGTCACGTGGACACCCGTAAGTCAGAAATGTATATCTCGTGATACTGTAAACATTCGCCATTGTTGTTATGCAAACACGTTAGCTAGCAGTTAGCTGCTAGTTCTCTGTAGTTGTGAATGGAGCTCCTCTCGACCCCTAAACGTAAACAAACCAGCCCGTCCCCGCCCTACCGGCTCACAACAGAGCCTGCGGGACCTTTGGCCTCTGTTCAAATTCGAATTCATGCTCGCTGGTGTATTTAACTAGTTAATTATGAACAGTATTGATAAACGAGAATTGACCCTCCTCATTAATTTCAAAGTTAAATGAGAAGTTTTTCCCATAGAGGTTGGTTTGCCTCTCCAAAAGAAAGTTCCAGAGCTATGTTGTGCAGGTTGTAGCCTGCACCGTGCCATTGTTTATCTTTTGAGGGTTGTTGATAATGTGCTGCTTTCTCAACACACTTTTATTACTCAAGAATTTATCGCCCTGATCTGTACTAACATTTAGCAATGGGATTTTAAATATATGCCGCCTGGTGTGGATGGACAGAGAGAAAGTTATATACAGGGGTGCCCATAACTTTTTTTTAGTGAGTTACTCAGATGAGTACCAGGAGACAGCGTTTGGTACTCAACCCACACGAAGCGTGGTCCTCCTCAGTGTCTCCTGAGTGTTGCCGTCCTCTATTTACACTTCTTGCATGCTAGATGATGAAGATGCACCTCCCTGTCTCTTTTTAAGCCTCCGATTTGTTTTCTCCAAAACTTGTGGCCAAAACTGTAAAGTCCTTGCATTTCCTGAGGCCAAGTTGAAGGATCAAATACTAAGAAATTATCACATGACTTGAAGTCATATCTGATTTCAGATGTGGGAAGTTACTAAGTACACTTATTCAAGTACTGTACTTGAGTACAATTTTGAGATATTTGTACTTTACTTGACTTCGATCTACTTTGTAAAATTAGCTGCACCTTTACCAGCTTTGATAACACTTTAATGATCAATCATTACAAAACATATCATATATATTATTCTGAAATGGACCAATCTGCACAATGACTACTTTTACTTTTGGTACTATTTGGTAACTATATTTTGATGATGATACTTTTCTAATTTTACTTGAGTAACATTTTGAATGCAGGACTTTTACTGTAACAGAGTATTCCTACACTCTGGTACTTCTACTTTTACTCAAGTACAAGATCTGAGTACTTCTTCCACCTCTGTCTGATTTCAAATTCTTCCACAACACCCTGAGTAAGTTTGCAACTGTGTGTTTCACTCCACTTTGGTGTAAATAAAACTGCAGCAGCTTGACCACAGAGCGTGAACGTTGTGATCAGCTGATTTTGCGCAGTTCTCCAGTGTGTGCACGGGGCACAGAATGTGCACAGGGGAGTCTCCCACTGCAGCCAGTTGGCGGAGTTTTGGCACAATTCTGTTGTTCATACTTACGTTAACCCTGTCTGTGCACACGGTGAACAACTCTGTCGTCCAGTGATCTAAGCCTCTGCCTCCTGTAAAGCTTCACAGGTCCGTCGGTTATGTCCTGCGCGGCTCGGCCAGCACCCAGGCCTATCAGCCATAGAAAGTCCGAAGTTTTTTCGCAGGGAGCGAAACGGCAACGTAGCTGCTTAATGTCTTTGGGTTTTTTGACATGTCTTGTAGTTTACTCCATTGAGTGTTGACAAGAAACATGTGTAGACGAAATATGTGTTTTGTTTTGAGGTACTCAAAGGCGTGTAGTGACACAAGTGACGTTACGCAATTCAGATTTTTGCCGCGCATGCCTACCTGCATACCAGTTATGTGCACCCCTGGTTATATATAAAGATAAGCAATAAAGTCATAATTATTCAGATTCTACAAGTTATGTGTGCTGGTAATGCTTAAATGAGAATTTCATTAACAGAAAATCTTTTATTATCAACAAATGTGTAATCAATTGTTAAAATCATACATTTGAAACGTGTTGGGTCCCAATTTCTCAAATGTCAGGATGTTTTTATGTACATTTAAACCAAAAGTATAAATGTGTAACGTGCATGTTCTAGTACCAAGTGACTTCCGGATTAATGGACAATGAAAACTACAAAACCAGAATAGGAACATCATCTCTGGTTGTAAACAAACTACCCTGTATACATTGTGTTGAGAGGGATTTATTTGGGATTTAAGCTCTCCAAAAAGTGGTTGCAATAATTTACCAAAGTTGGTTGTATAATAGAAAAAAACAGCCTCTGAATAGAATTGGGAGGGATGAAACCCTCTTTAATGGTCACACATGCAGAGCACACAGCGCACACACACAGTGAAATGTGTTCTCTGCATTTAACCCATCCTAGTACTAGGAGTCTAGTACTAGGAGCAGTGGGCAGCTATTGTACAGCACCCGGGGAGTGAGGGGTGAAGGGGGGTGTCCGGTGCCTTGCTCAAGGGCACCACGGCAGGGCAGGAGGTGAACTGGGACCTCTCCAAGTAGCAGTCCACACTCCATATTTTAGGTCTGGTCAGGGTCTTGAACCGGCGAACCTACAGCTCCCAGTCCAAGCCCCTACTGACTGAGCCACTGCCATTACAGGCCAGACTTTGCACACTGCTCTCGGCTATTGTGCCATCTTTCAATGTGAAACCACATTTTACTGCACAAACAATAAGCTTGTTTTGCCTTTTTTTAAACCTCAAACTGGACTTTTGCTCAAAAATATTGTCTGCAGCTGAACATGTTTGTGTTTTCATAACTAAATAGTAAATCAATGATTGCACTGCCACATCGTACATACACCCATGCATTTCATTAGTAGGCACCCAGAGGACCAAGGGAAGAAGAAGAAGAAGAAGCAGCGGCGGTTTCAGGTTCTCGTATTGATCAGGCCCACTGCCAATAAAGAGCTTTTAATCAGTGGCACTATTTACAACAAGCACTTCTATAAGTAAGACACCTAGCACAGGCTAACATGATTTACTGTAATCCGCAAGCTCACTCAGACGACCCTCAATGTACAGGATAAGACTGCTAAAGCACAGATTGACAGCATGAGAGAACTCGCACAGCTTTGGCCCAGAGGACAGGTCTGTTGTATTCCAGGGATTCCTATTTGGTGATGTAAACAGACTAAACAGAAAGGAACAGCCTTCCCTTCCCCTTTTTTTCCCTCCCCTCCATGTCCTCTCCCACACCCGAAAAACACTCCAAGTTCTTCCTGTCTCCTTTTGTTTACATTCTTATTTTGCATTTTGGGTGGGGGTGGGGGTGAAAATCAAGTGAAAGTTTTCAGTTGAACAAGCTTTGTTTGTTGCCGTCCTCACAGCTTAGCAGCATAGCAACTGTGCGTTAGTGTTCATGGAGTTTGGCCTCATTGTTCATACAGGAGAGAAATAGGGTCGATTTAAAGAGGCTTCAGTGAATGCATGCTTTCAGGGGGATACTCAACAATAAGGACACAGTTTCCCATGACATTGAACCACACCCAGACTATATAAAATGTCCAATTATTAATTAAAAATAATGTATTTTTAGTAGGGCTGAAAGGGTTTGGTAATCAGGGAATGAATTGCTGTTTGGTTTAGGTGAGGAACCTCTTGATATCATCAAATAAGTGGCGATAAATTAAAGTCTAATATCAGTTTGGCCATTAAGTCCTTGGTTAGATCCTCTTGCATATTAACTTAAATTAAGCTTTCCTGACGTAAATTTAACTCACTTTTCATAGCTCTTAAAATATCTGCGTTTAAAGATTGAGAAAATAGTGTGCATTAAATGTTTTGGGTCATTCAAATGCAACAATGTAAGGACATTGCTGGTCCAAGCTTTCAAATCTGATGTTTTATTTCAATGTAAATCCAATATCTTTGGGTTTTGGTCGGACATTTATAGACTCAACATGTATTGATTAATTGAAAACTGTGAACAGATAATGGTAATTTGCACCCCCAGTTGCATTATATGGATTAGTTCGCATTTATCATTAAAATAATATTCAACCCCTTTCTCAAAAACCCATAAACCAAACTCTTAGCCACCCCAGCCAACCTGTGTCCATAGATTTGAAAAACTGCCAAGTATAAAAGATCGATGTCCTATTTCCATAAAAAAATTCTCAATTTAGCCCACTTATTTCTTATTATATCTTGGATAATTTCTTATAAGGCATCTTGTTTTTCTACAATGTTAAATATTCATTCATTTGAGAAGATATGCTTATTGTAAGGGTCTAGTTTCAAATAAAGGACATCTCACATTATCCATCAAACCAAGGTTTTCCCTAAAGCGTCGTTCCTTGAGTATTTTTTTTATAGACTGACCACTTACCATTACCAAAGACAAAGGCCATTAATATGTAAAATATGAAAGGAAACCTTAACCTTGATTATATGCTAAGATTTTTCTAAATGAACTATGCTGCCAATGTTATCCTTATTATTTAATATTCGTTTATCAAAGCTGCACTAATGGTTAACATTCAGGCTTTGTCATGAGCCAAAATGTAATATTGGACATACAGCGGTTCGCATTTTCAGCAGCTTGTAATACAGACAAGAACACAAAAGAAGAGGATCGTTTTTGATATTTTATTAGTTCTTGATATATTTAGATATCACTGCCCTCACTCTGTCAGCTCTCCACAGCCGCTGGATATTGAGAAGTGCTCTGATGTTATTTAAAGGATCCTTCGTGACTTTGCCAGATCCTCAGTAAAATCTACCCTTACTTAGAGGGTGCTGAGAGGGAACATGCACAATGAAAAGTGTCTCCCCTCACCAGTCTGGCCCCAGGAAGTGTTTCAGTCTCCTGTGAGCAGCAAGATGTAGGTGTCAGGGATCCAGTTCTCTCAGCAGATGCCAGCTCTGTGAGGGCCTGGCGAAGAAACTGCTGTGCCTGGCACTCTGTGACTAGAAGAAAACAAATGTGTGTCTGCTCCGTCTCCCCGGTGTCAGACCGCCTGATCCTAACAGTGATTTAGAAAGGTTCCTTCTATTCACCACTATCTGTGAATGTTGAACATTTCCCGTCACCAGCAAGGAGTCTGTTATTATCTAAGACTAAATTATTTAATTGTAAGGAATCCACCCAAAAATATGCGAGTTTCTGTTGGCAATGTCTCTGCATTCCTGAGTTAGTTTTGTTGGTTGTTTCCGTTTTCTTTTTTTTTCTACTGCATACCAAATGGAGAAGCAATGAGTTACATTTTTCATCCATTTATAGGCGCCCTGTTATGCTCATTTTTAGGTTAATGTTTGTATTTTGTGCCTCTACTGTGGTGTGACGGTATATGTATTCGTACCGAAAATATTCGATATGGGCCCTTCGGATCGGTACACGAATATAACGTCAAATGTAAAAAATTGAGGAGGTGAAAAACTTTTTGGAAGTAATCTCAGGTGCTGCGTCGCAGCGTTCAGTGTAATTTGCTCACATTGGGTTCAGCGAGTCATAGAGCGACCAAGTCATTTCATTGGACGAGAGGCATTCTATGAGAGTGGTCACAGGGATGCGTTAACATTTAGTCAGTAGTTGGGGGAAATGGCGAACGCAGATAAAGTTGAGCTTGAAAATCCTCCAGCATCATTGAAGTCTGGGAACATTTTGGTTTCGCAGTTACGTACAAGGATGACTGACAAAGACAGGTGGACCGAACCAAAGCTGTTTGTCGGCATTGTTCAACTAAAATTGATTACGCGGCTGGCAATACTTCAAACTTGCACACTCATTTGAAAAGGCATCACCCGAACGTGAATATCACCGGTACCAAAAGAAAAATGACTGAAGTGCAAACCCAACTCCCAGTAGCATTTAAGCCTCCACCACTCGCAAAAAGTTCAGTGCCATGTTAGCAAAGCGCTACCTGGCTGTATCTGCTACCTCTGTCCCTAGTGAGAGGGTGTTCTCCACAGCAGGAGACATTGTTAGTGCCAGCAGATCTGCCCTTTCGGCAAGCAATGTGGACAAGTTAATTTTTCTTTAAAAAAACATGAAAATACAATGACAAGCAAGTCCTAGTGTCAAACTAGTACAGTACAGTTAAAGTACAGATTATTTCAGTTCATCGAAATGCTGCACCTTAATGTTTATTTCATTATATTTTGTATTTATTTGAGTGAATATTCACAGTTTAATAATAATTTAAAAAAAACAAAAAATAATGCGAGAGAAGCTCCCTGTTTAGGATTTTATCATTTGCATACCATTTACATGCACACAAATCTATATAACACACCACAGGAAAGGGAAACCCCAAAAATGCATAATAGGGCTTCTTTAAGACAAGTAATGTAGGTTACATATTCTCTTTTCAAATAAGAAGCAACATGTATGTGAATTCAAAGGCATCCCATGATGCTTAATCCTGTACATTATGCCGTTGAAACGATGTTGTTGGTTCATGTGTGGCCACTCTGCTACCTCACAGCTCATGTGTGATAGTCTAACTGATATGGGGCATTTTTAGCAACATACTTAGACTCAAAACTTGAGTTTTCACTGTTTTGTGTATAGTTATTTATCAACAGACTTTTACACCAATACTGTACATTTGTGATAAGCTCTTCTTGGCCCGACCCTGATTTACTGACGCTAGGTGCCTTGTGGTAATGTTTCTGTTAGGGGTTTTCATTTGTGAATGCCAATAACCCTCATTGTAGCATAACAAACATTTCCAAATTGGTTTCGGGTCTTAAATAACTATTAAATAAACATGGCATTAAAGCGTTTGTATATTTAAGCAATAGCTCACGACAGGCTGTGGTGTATATACTCATTATATCACAGCTGTGATATAATGAGCATATATCATGGCCTGAAGTGAGCTATTGCTTTTATAAAACGGTTACCAAGTGTGGCAATATAAAAGAAAAATACACACTAATTTAAATAGTTTTTATTAGTAAATAATAGTTCAAAATAAAATAGTCCCTCCGTTGCCTTCTGCACGAAACATAGTGCGAGGTGGTTGCTATGCAACAACACTAACAGCTAGCGAACATATTAGACGGAGAGCGTTGATCCATTATTTGGCTATTTATTTACATTAATGTGTATGTTGCCGTTTATTGTGCACCCACTGAAAAACTGTCCAGCATCAGTAGAATGGCTTACGTGGTTACTTGTATAGGTTGAGGCTAGGGCTGTGCGATTATGGCAAAAATCATAATCACGATTATTTTGGTCAATAATTGATATCACGATTATTAAATACGATTATTCATTGACTTTGAAAACATCCATTTATTGAACTTTAAAACAAATACAAATAATAATTTGAACAGTATCTTATAACTGTTGATTACCCTGAACGTATATTCAACTGAAAAACTTTAAATAAATAATATCAAAATAATAAATACCAATAAACAAGATCAACAAATATTTTGGAGCGCACTTCCAAAAGTTACTAATCATATATAAATATGATAAATACAAATAAATTAGACCAAAAATAAATTAGATCAAATATGTTGCAGTGCAGTCACAACCTAGCAAAGCAAAATAATTGTTTTATTCGATTATGTTGTTTTTGTAATTGTGGCAGGCCAAAATCGTAATTGCGATTAAAATACGATTAATTGCACAGCCCTAGTTGAGGTTGTTCTAGGCTGTTGCTTGGCGTGGCGAGAATATTGCTCCACTTTCTCCGGTCCCCGAGATTCGGCTTCCAGTAGCTCTGGAGAGAGCTTTCGCACCTGTGGCCACTAACGGTCATAATTTCTCTGCTTTGTTTCAAGACCCGCATCAGAAAGCTTTTGAATGGTGATACTTTTCCAGTTGGTCTACCTGCTCTTCACGTAGCTCTGCATGTCGTCGTTTAGGTGCTTTTTGTTCTGGAGATATAGGCACTGCTCAATCCACCCCTCCATAGTAAGACCCCCCCCCCCCCCCCCCCCCCCCCCCCCCCCCCCGAAGTTAATCTTAAATGTTTCGATCTTATGCTTTGTAAGTTTGTTTCGTAATGGAAGAAATGTAAATATATTTATAAAACGGACAAGTCAAATCAAGCAATCTGATTGGTCGATAGCGTTCTTGCGGACCTTTTTGATTACAGATTTGAAAACATCGTTGCTTGCTTTAAAAGTAGCACAATTCATCATGTCAAACCTTGGAAAGTATCTAGATATCCCTGCCCTAATGCCAAAGTAACTGCACACTGAATATGTTTTGCTGTTTGATGTCTATGTCTGGACCGCTGCGTAAAAAGGAGGGTTTCTGCCCCGTTACTTCTAGTGTGCTGTTAGCATGTCTTAATTTGTATCCCTCTGCTTATTTTTCGCCGGTACTCCAGTGAGTAATAGCTCTGTTTTTTGTCCTCTGCAGTGTAATAATGTGCAGTACTGTGATCATTTGCAGTTAGAAGCCGCACAAACAAAATATTTCCAGCAGTGTGGAGGTAGAAGGGAGCTTCATTAAGCCATTGCATCAGTATTCAAATGTAATTAACTTGCGCATTGTCTCTCGGCTAATTAGAGCCCGTCAGCTGAAGTTTACGTGTGGTTATTAAACGCTCACTGATTTGCCTTCCTAATGTTGATATGATTGACGGGTACCTCTTCCTTACTTGCCAGCTCTTTAAAACTTTGTCTTGTTTTGTTTTGCAGGTGCACTTTCAGGTTTCCCAGCACAAACATCAAGATCACGTTCACAGCGCTGTCCAGCGGGAAGAAGGTGAAGCGTGAAGCTCCAGAGTCTCCGGTGAAGCCCGTACAGCCCATGATCTCCCCGCTGACCATCAACATTCCAGACAACATCGCTCACCTCATGAGCCCCCTGCCATCGCCCACTGGCACCATTAGGTACGCACTTCTGCAAACTGTTATGTGTTCCCTAGCTAAAAGCAGGAAGAACTTTTCCTAACACCAACAACAATTTGTATCTAGAATGTATCCTCTGTAGATGAGTTGTTTACTTGCCAGGTCATTTAGCATTAATTTGCCTCCTGCTTTTTATTTTAAGATAATTTGTTGGCCTATTTGTCTTTTTTTCCTCGCAGAGAGTTGTTTTAAACCCGGCCACAGCTAAGGCTTCAGCCTTGGTACAAGGGCACCATTGGCCCCATGTTTTGGGCTGAAGAATATGAAACATTTGAGTCCTGGCCAAAATAATTGCCATTCACTATGTTATCCTGAGAATCTCTTAAAATGGCTCTATAGTGGACTCCCTTAACCTGAAATGTTAAACAAATATCAGCATTGCATCACATATTCACAGGACATCCTTTTTAGTGAACTCAACAATCTTAAATAAGGTAATGTTTAAAAGAAAATGCATAAATATAAGGTAAATAAATGTTGAGGCTCAGCTTTTTCTTTTATGATAATTACTGCAGGGTTTTCGATTGTTATTTAAAACTTTTTTAAGTTGCCATAGAGGATAATTATGAATACCCGGATGATGAAAATTCTCCCCTTTTTTTTTCTTCAGTTGTGTAAACGTACCATTTTCTGATTCTAACACCTGAGATCAGTGCTCGGTGGTCCCTCCCTCGCCTGTAGCCGACCTTGACATGGCCCTGCAGGGTGATCAGCTTAGGCTTAGTTCAGAGACTGCAGGGCTCAGAGAGGGAGGCGCCTCCATCTCAGACTCTCTTATCCTTTCAACCCCCTGATCTCAGCCAGATGGCTAAAAACCAACCAGGTTTCTTCTGTCATACAGGTCCCCTTTTCAAGGTTATATGATATAATGTGCTTTCTCTTTGTAAATGAACAGTCGGCATAAGATAAGCGGCACCAGGTGTAGCACAGTCCAGCGCTGCTGCTTCTTTGTGTTGTGTACTAACTTCTCCACAGTCCCCTGAGTCCTGAAATAAAAATATGTAAATGTGCCTTAATGTTAAGTCTCTTCCTCCTGGGTTATTCAAATAGATAATTGGACTTGGTTAAGATTGGTATGTGTTGTTGCTTAAGGCCTGATAGTGCCTTCTTAAATGACTGCAGTGTTTGAGAGGTGAGGCAATTTGCATAGATGTGGGACAAAAGCGTGCCTCTGCAGCACAGACTGCGCTTACTCTAACTGTGCCTCTTCTGGGATATAATAGCCTAGTTATATTTCCGATGGAAGCACCTAATAAACAACTAAATAAGACTATAACGAATTAAGTATTGACAATATTTAAAAAAATGTCTCTGCATCTCACGGTTGTTATTGTGTTTCCTACAGTGCTGCTAACTCGTGCCCCTCAAGCCCGCGGGGCGCAGGCTCCTCCAGCTACAGGATGGGGGGCCGCATGGTCAGCTCTGCAGAGCTGCAGCTCATGAATGACAACTCCCAGCCCGACAACGACAAAGACGCCTCTGGAGGGGACAGTCCCAAGGTGAGAGCGGGACCGCAGGACAGTCACTCTGTGAGGGGGGGGGGGGTTTGCATCAAAGCTGACCCTCAGTTTGTGACACTGGTCAAAGTTTCATCACAATACTATTTTATATAATTTGATGTTTCTTTAGATATTGGTAAATTATCAAAAACAAACAAAAAACAAAATGTCATCTTATCATTTTGCATCGTCAGAATATTAAAAACTATAGTCCAGCATAAATGGCAGATTATCAAATTAAAAAAGACAGAACTAATAAATATCAAATATTTAGAAAGATTTCTTTAAAAATGTAAATGATCAGAATGTTTGTTAATTGGTTTCTCTATAAATGAAATGATTCATTTCAGCTCCAAGCTATAACAACATATCACCATCTCTACCCACAAACTAATAAAGGCTATATTTTGTTCCAGCAACCTTTGTTATTTTTTGCAGAAACTGAATTGTATCTGACCAAAATCTTATATACTAGATGTTTTATACTATTATATGCCTAACATTTCATAGACAATATCCAGTTTGGCAGTGTTTTTAGACTCTAGCAATACAATAACCACAAGATTAAAAATGGGATTAAATTCCACATTTTTAAACTGAGAATTGAGAAAATTATATAATTTTTTTTTAATGTTTGCTTCATACTTAAATATGCATTTCTCCTCTGCTCCACAGGATGACTCCAAACCTCCGTACTCCTATGCACAGCTGATAGTCCAGGCCATCACACTGGCTCCAGACAAGCAGCTCACACTAAACGGAATCTACAATCACATCACAAAGAACTACCCCTACTACAGGACTGCAGACAAGGGCTGGCAGGTGAGTCCTCTGAAGGGTCTCTGCCCCAGAACCTGCTCAGAAGAATTACAAATGCATCATCAAAAATACTTTTTTTATTTTCACGGCAACACCCTCACACAATTTTTCCTCTGCTGCAGAACTCTATTCGACACAACCTGTCATTGAACCGTTATTTCATCAAAGTGGCGCGGTCGCAGGAGGAGCCGGGCAAAGGCTCCTTCTGGAGGATAGACCCGTCCTCAGAGGGCAAGCTCATCGAGCAGGCCTTCAGGAAACGAAGGCCCCGGGGCGTGCCCTGCTTCAGGACCCCACACGGACCCCTCTCCTCCAGGTCTGCTCTCATCCCACTGTCACACACTCAAGATTTGATTCATACACACCATCATTCAGTAACTGTAGTGTTCATTAGCACAATATATTTTTTTTTATTACTAATTGTAGTTTTATTTTGGTATTTTTTTTTTAACATTTCTTATAAATAATTTTTATTTTGTTCAGATAAAAACATGCTTGAGATACATTGCTTAAAATAAATGAGTTGCAAAGCATTAAATGATTACATTTCACTAAAGCCTTATATGGCAACATTTAAAAACATGTCCAGGGTCCATTTACATTTTTACTAAAAAAACAACCAGAAATTGCTCCCACTCACAAATATTCCTTCATTGTTGTCCATAAACTATAAAAATTGTTTGCTTTTGATGTCATTGATGTTCACTCATGGTGCACATGAAGGTCAGCTTCATACTGAACAAAATCTTAACCAGCTCTTTAATAACTGTAAAATATTGATATTGCTGTAAGATGGTTAACCCTCCTCTCTCTGACCCTCAGGAGTGCCCCAGTGTCTCCCAATCACTCGGGCGTCCTCTCCGCTCACTCCAGCGGCGTCCAGACTCCTGACAGCCTCTCACGAGAGGGCTCTCCGGTCCCCCTGGAGATGGAGACCACCTCGGCCCCTGCCCCGACCACCCCCACGGTGGTCCAGCCCAAACTGGCAGTCATCCAGGAAGCACGCTTTGCACAAAACACACCAGGTATAAAACCCTTTTTCACAATTGCATTTGTAGTTACAACTTGAGTGACTATAGAGACTTCAACACTGGATATTGTTGGTTTAGGTACTTTGAACATGTCTGAATTTTACTCTTAAAAAGCTGTTGGAAGCAATAATATAATGGCGCATTTCCACTACAGGGCCTCGCTCGGTATGGCTAGGCCTCGTTAGGCCTTGTTAGGACTGGCTCACTTTATGCTGCGTTTCCATTACAGTTTAGTAGCTGGGGCAGTAACTATAGTAACGCAGTGTAGGCGGAGCCGTGACGTCATCTTCAATGAGGACCCCAGAAAAACAACACAGCCGTTAGCTGTTAGCACTCAGAGCTCACAGCTCCTCATATATGTTCAGAAACTAGACAAAAGTTAAACAAGTACAAACCACAGACTGTCTGTGTCATGGCGAATACAGTCGCTGCTTTATTTATGTCTGTATAGGCTGTTGTTGTGAGTGTGGACGGTCGGAGCATATACAACGTTAGCTTAGCCAATCTCCATTTAGAAAACACGCATTTTAAAAGGTTTTTCGCCTGCCGTCTGTCTGCAGACTTGTCAAAGCATTAATTCATGGTTTTTACTAACCGGTATCAGTATGTTGTTACTTCGGCATCATTTTGAAACGTGTATTACAATTAAATCACGGTCAAATATGTTCATCTTGTTGTAGTTGTTGCCCCCTTGCCAGCGATTCTCTCTCTAGTTTAGCATACTCAGCCCGACTCAGGCTGGTTGTTGGCCCGGAAAGAACCTCGATTTTATGGGGCCAGAAAAACTGTGAAATAGTACCCGCTAGCCGGTACTACGCCAAGTGGAAACGCAACCAAAAACGGGCCGGGCACGGCACGCTTAAAGCGAGCTCCGCGCTGTAGTGGAAATGCGCCATTAGTTACCTCCATGATTTCAAATAAACAAAGGTGTATATTAAATATCCCTGTGTCCCTCTCTGTCTCTGCTCCAGGCACGCCTGTTAACAACCAGCCGGTACTCATAGCAGTCCAGCGCCAGTTACCTCAGAGCATCAAGCCAGTGACCTACACCATGGCCTCCCCGGTGAGCACCAGCAGCTCGCAGCCGGCCATGCAGACGGTGCACCTCCTGCAGCAGATCCCCGCCGGCTGCATCAGCTCCGCCGTACTCGCCCAGCCAGCCACCATCATCAAGGGCGAGCTGCAGGAGAACGGAGACCACACAGGGCTCAAAGGTGAGGCAGGGGCATGCTGGGTAATGTTGTTATCCACCACCATTTTGTAAATTGGCACACATCTGGAGTTCATCTTAATTGATTATTTCGCCTCCTCCTTTCCCTCACTCGCGTCCCTTCCTTGCGTCTTAGCTCCGCCTCCGTAAGACGCGAGCGAGAGACACGAGGAAGAGACGCGAGGACAGAGGAGTCCTCAGGTATTAATTGGGATGTCCTCGTTCACTCCAGCGTCACCATAAACAACGCCCTTTACTTCTGGTGCGTGCAGTTTTATCACCTGTCACTGGACTCACTCCACATAAATCCCTTCAAACCTGAGATTTAGTTTCTCATTGAAATGATTTCGTCCATCTCTTCCATTCATCTCTTTTATTATAGTTTTCTATGTATTATTTTCGGTCCTGTATTTGTTTTTCCAGGTATAACATTTCATTTAAGTTATAATCATAACAATAATAATACATTTAATTTCCAAGTGCTTTTTCAGGTGCTCAAAGACGCTTAACAGTGGTGATAAAACGAGATATAATAGAATAAAAAAGAATATTAAAACAGCAACACAACATAATTCAATAATTAAAAGCCAGTCTGAAGAGGTGTGTTTTGAAGGTGGGGGGGTCGGTGCAGTCTCTGATGTGTTGTGGAAGGGAGTTCCAAAGGGTGGGGGCAGCAATGGAGAAGGCTCTGTCAATAATAATTGATGGATTAATGTCATTATGGTATTTGAGCTTGTTTCAGATCAACTTTTGTATTGGATGTTGTTATTTAATTTGTCCTACAGAAGAGACACAACTCACTAAAATATTTATTAGTTATGCTACCCGTATTTTTATATATCCTAAATGTTTGACGTTCTGTGGGTTTACCACACATGCATCAAAACACCAAGTAAGAACTGGAAGTTATTATTTTATAATCAAAACATTATTATTGAAATTGTAAGTATATTTCACACACATGTTTTTATAGAGTATGTTCTCCTCATTCGTTTAAAAGATTTATATATTTTACTCATTAAAGCAACATTTAATGACTCTGATCCTCCTTTAACGGTAAGATCAGCTGCAGTGAGCAGAGGCTGTGCAGCTGGGGGCGGAGTTCTGATGCGCAAGTAGTGAAAACACTTCCGCGTAGTCTACACTTGTGTATCCTTGCTCTCGTCTCCTCTGGAAGCCTCCTCCCTCCCCCCTCCTCGACTCCTCCATGTGCATTTAAGAGATTGGGACGTCCTTCAACATGGTTTGTCTTGGTCGATTTCCGGGTCAAGTCCCGAGGAGTCGAGGAGGGACATTGAGATTAACCTCTTGGTTACTTGGGGTACTGAAAATGTTTTGGTATCAATACATTATTGGTACCATAATAAAAATATTTTAGTCGATACAAAGCCGTACTGGCATCAGTGGCTTTCACATGAACATTCATGTTCTTCGCTGGAACATTTTCCTGAGTCTAGTGTCCCTAGATAAAGACGACAAGGACAAAAAGTATTATTTCAAACATAATAACTGGTTATGTATCCGTCTTCAATGATAGCTAATACAGAAAACCTTAGCTTGTTATATGGGAAACAAATACTTTATTATTTAGAACCTTTATTCAATTTTAGTGAAGCATAAAAAGTGGCTCTAAAACTTCATTCATAGAAAAGTTTGGTCTCATGTCGAACTAGAGCTGAAGATTAATTCCACACCTGATTTTATGATCCTCTGAATTTAGACATGATAAAAGATATACATCCACATGTTTGTTAGCTTTAATGCTATTTTCACTAGCTTTTTTTGTTGGCTTTAACCATATCTTTACTGTAAGAGAGCCAGGAGGGATTATTGAGTGAGATATAGCTCTTTCCTAGTAAATTATTTATCTTCTTTAATTTACTAAATGAATCATTCTACTGCTGGTTTCCTAACTGTCAATTCCTCTTCTTACTGTAGGCATGAACAGTACACTGTTAAACTAGAATACCCTTTTTCCCTGAAGTCATTGTTGAAATGTCTGTGTCTCTCAGTTAAAGTGGAGACGGTTCCCACCATCACCTCTATAGGCGGCTCCAGTCGCATCATCCAGAGCTCCCAGTCCGGTGGCTCGCTGCAGACTGTGACCATCGTGCAGCAGGCACCCATGGGTCAACACCAGCTGCCCATAAAGGCCATCACACAGAACGGCACCCACAGCGCCACCACTGCCATCCACGGAGCCACCAGCTCAGGTGAGAAGCAACGCTACGACAAGCAGGAAGAGAACATGGAGGGTTTATATGTTGATTATTAAGTCTGAAGAAAGTATACATCATGTATACGCTGAATAGTTTACATTAAACCATAATGGACAAAATCTGGAACAATGAAGCAAGAATGTCCCGAATGTTACATAGTGATGTCAGTAAATTAACGGAAGTAAAAGGAGTCCAATGGTGGCGTTTCAGCAGGGAGGGGGGGAGTGTGTGGGAGAGAAACTCCCTCTGAATGGAACACAGGGATCTTAGCCTTCGCAGAGCATTTACATGCAAACAAACCTATATAGCACACTACAGGAAAGGGACAACCCCAAAAAGCCGAAAGGGGCCTCTCTAAAAAGTGTTCAGATTAAACCGATTGATTAATGAACTTCTGCTTTCCACTCTAGTTTTCATGACCTAATGTTAGTGGGATTGTTACTCACCCTAATATTTAAGGCAGTACTCTGACACGATTAAAACTTTCTCTGCCTCCACTGAATCACAGAAAGCCACAGCTCCCACAGGCTTCCTGCTTACAGATGTCGGTTAACCACACAATGACTTCCACGGCTAACCCCCCTCTTCCCATCTGTTTCCCCTCCAGCTGTGGCCAGCCCCCTCCACCTGCTGGCGGCCCACGCCTCCGCCTCGGCCTCCCTCCCCACCAAGCGTCAGAACGGGGAGCAGCAGGCCAGCGAACAGCCGGACGCCAAGCGCATCAAATCAGAGGACGAGGCGGCCTCGACCCCGGCGGACTCAGACTCGTCGGCAGCTAACGACCCCGGCCACAACTAGTCTGTACAACACACACCACACAACCCCCTCCCCCCACCACCACCACCACCTTCTCTCTCTCGTCCCAGTCGTTTTGTTTCGTTTCTCTTCCTTCAACCACTGACTCCTGAGGTGCCAAACTGAGAGGATTCTTTTCATTTTTCTGTTCTAGAGCAACATGAGGAAAAAAAGATAATGTCCACCCCTTTAAAGACTTGAATGTGGGTTGAGAACAAAAATAAAGAAAGATGAACTCAAAGGTGTCCCCCCTGTGAGCCACTGAAACAGGAGAGTGACTAAACCAAGACCGCAGGAAGCCTTAACAACAATTAACCCTTAAGAGCTGACCTTTGACCTGGAGCGGCCCCGCGCGGGGAGAGGCCCTAACGGAGCTCGGGGCCGAACACCACCTTTCTGTCGAAACTACCTCAGAGCAGAGAGGAGACCACACCTTCCCACCCCCCCTCCTGTCGGGGCAGCTCGGGACGAAGCAACCAAGCGACGAGTACGACGAGCATTCAAAGGTTTAAAGAAAATAAATGAAAAACGGTCAACGCATTCAGAAAGGGATCAACTCGGAGCCAATAATCCTGAAACTCTGGCAGCTAGCCTCTCACAATACTGACCTTCCTTAATCGCAGCTGTACGTAGATATGCAGTATTTTGTTGTTCAAATGTGGAGCATAGGATTTTTTTTTTTAATGTATTTTCACTTATCTAGATAAGTAATAATTTAATGAAAGGAAGCGTACAAAATAATGAGGTCGACGACATTTCGGTAACTAAGTTAGAAATCTCACTTTTTTTATGTGGACTTCCTTTTTCTGTTCGGTGAAACAGTGTAATTAGTTTTTTTTTCGTAATATTCGTTTCTTTTCCCCCCCTCGTTCTGACATATCCATATGAAATTTGCTTAGTTATACCTACATATTTTAATACTTGCACAGATAACCGATATAAGCATATGAAATCTCTCCATGTGTAGTTCCAGATGTTGACCTTTGCATGTATCCGACAACACGAGAGTTAACTGTTAACTGTAAATTGAACGGAGGAAAAAAGACCTGCTTTGTCCAAACCAGACCTGCACTTGATTAAATGTTTGTGTTTTCATTTCCCTTCTCCTCCTCCTTCTTTTTTGTTTTCCTCCTCCTCCTCCCAGCTGTGTTGACGTTGTGGTGTTGGCAGACCCCCCCTCCCCCCACCTTTGCTTGATTATTTTACTACTCTGTTCCGGCGACCTGGCGAGTCTGTTTTCTGATTGTACACGTTCCAAACAATAGTAAAAGAAAAAAAAATTGATGTTTGTTCTGCTTAAGTGGAGAAATGCTTTTTTTTTAAATAAATTAATTTAAAGCCCTTTTCTGTATCAGTACATTTTGCTTTATTGGTGTAATTGCTGCTCCACTCCACAAGGGGGCAGTGTAGCTCCTATACTGCCCCAGATAGAACCATAGATAACTTTCCCCATGAAATAATTTTCTATGATTTCTGATGTAACAGCATTGTTAAATTGGCGCACATTTTTATTCCTAAATTGATCCGTTATGCTTTAGTATGATCCATCTCACACACATCCAGGATTAAAAATCTACATTTACTTGAACAAGTCACTCTTTCTTCTTCACAACAGCATTGCCGGAATCATACTCTTTTAGCATCAACACCCTAAAATCGATTCAGTGGAAATTGAAGAGTTTCTTTACAGAGTCCCTGCTCTCTGAGTGTTTCTCAGCGTTGATGTTTTTTTTTGGATAAACACTCCCAGCGACATAAGAACAATTATTCAGTTTGCACCCCGCCACGGCCCAACGTTCCTCCTTTGTGTTGGACGGGCTAAATAAAGCTGCGGTGCCGAAGGTGCTTCCTCACATTAGAGGCTACAGGAGATTCAGATAAAGCTCTGAGCAGATGTGCAGCAACAGACCTATGACTGTTAGCCACTTATCACATAAATGATAAGAATATATAGAATTCATTTTTGAACACCCTGTTCTCAGGTAATCAGTATCTGTGTTTGCCCGCCAGCTAACCAAGCACACTGGGCTCTGGTTTCAGACAGAGGGTGAAAAGAGGAGCTGCAGTATGAGAACAATAAAGAGTTTTGAACATTAAAGCATGGAGACATGTCCCAGAAGAGACACACTATACTAATATGAACCTGAAAATGAGGATAATTTGTCCTCATTAAACAGGAGTTTGCAGACGTCCTCACATTAAAATCCAAAATATAACCAACAAAAAAAAGATAATGTATTATTAAAGGTTAATATAAACTTCATTGATACTTGGTGGAACTCATAAGCAACCTTGAAGTATAGATGGTGAAAAAAGCTCCTCTTTTAACAGCTGCAAAGGTGAAGTAGGTTTAATACAATGAACACTTTTTTGGATAGTTTTAAGGTCACATGACCTAGAAGCTAAATAAAAGCACAACATTTTATCAGTAAGATATTCATGTAAAATAAAAATAAGAAACGGCATAATTCGAATTACAATATGTGTATAAAATATAAGAACCTCTAAAATCCAATTTAAAAAGCTGTGTCATTCAATTATTTTATTCTGATTCATTTGATAACATGTCATGGAAGCTATTGAACAATCAGGAAAAAGCTGAATTTTGATAACCATATTTAAAATCCTAAAGATGTGTTCTATTTGTCTAGTGGATTATAACAATGCTGCATTGATTTAAAGTCACCAGGTCACATGATATGGAAACTATTTAAAAAATCTGAGCCTTTTCAATAAGAAACCTCAGTTAGTACTTGTGCAAAAACACACTGCCTCCGAGTCTCTCTCTGAATATTCCTCACACACTGACGCGTGCTTCCACTCTCTAACATTAGCTGTACGGCGTACTAACAGACAGCAGAGGAAGGTGACTAACAGTGGGAAGCAGCAGAATTTCAAACACAGGGAGGATGTGTGTGTGTCTCCACTGCTGGCTGTGTAGGTGGAGTCTCCATAGAAACCAGGAGCTTATCGCGGCTGCCTGCATCGAGCTGCTACACTGGAGGGACGAGCAAGAGTGTGCTGTTTATCCAAAATTCTCTTCTGCATGATTGCTCATCCAAATTGTTCTCAGAATTCTCCCTCCTTTTCAAGAATGGAGATCTAACAAATAACAAAACCTCTGGCCTCATGTCTGGTATTAGCTGCTCCTTAAGGTCATGAGGCTCTTTGTGCAGTGGGAAACTATTCCAGGTCTCTGATAATATCTGCAGCTTCTTAAATCTGCAGTTTTTTTTACACAAGTAGCCGGGATCAGCGCACTATGTGAGGAGCCATTAAAACTGGGTCTTATGACATGAAAACATGTCATTTAAAGATGTAGAGCGATGACGCACATTTCTCGTTATACTAAATATTCACGTGGATTTTCCTCTTGTGATGCTGCTATTTTAAGAGACCAAATCCAGTTATTTGGTCATTATTGCAATCCCTGTTTTGACATAGCAGCAAAAACAAAAGGCCTTTCATTCGTTCAGCCTCACAGGACTCAATGAGAGCTGCAACTGGAGCACAAACTGCCTGCATGCTGCAACTCTACTGTTTTTAGTGTTGACTAGTTCTTTTTCTTTTTCCTGATGCTCTTTCTAATATTATTTTCTCCAATATGTTATGTGTTGTCCTAGAGGCAGCATTTCATTTCAGAAAAGATTGTCCCTATCAAATAAAATATAAATTCTCTCCTAATTATTTACCTTATTTGTGTCCTGATTTTTTGGTTCTAATTGTACGGTGGCCGACCCATCATGCAAACGTGCTACAATTAGGAAAATCGTGCTGCACTTTCAAATAATATGTATATATACTGTAAATTGCATGTCAATCAGAGTTTGTCTGTTTCATAATTGTAATTGTTTTGTCAGTATTGAAATGACAAGGTTAGCTTCTTTAGCGAGCTAGCTTACAGCAGATCTTCAATAATATCAAAAGTAGTCATGCAATCACATTGTTAAAATAAGCAGATACAACTTTTTAGATAAGTTTCCAGTGACAGTTCAGTTGGCAATCTTTATAATCTCCATCTTCCGTGTTGTTTTGAGCTTCTTGCATAGTTTTTTTATTTGCAGTGTTTTGTTTATGCAGCACTTTTAGTAAACGCTGTGCATGTTTTGTCAAGTTGGTGAAGATGTTTCTTAATTTTCATGTGTTATGGCACATTTGTGTGCTATTGATATCATCTACATTTCCTCTTAAGGGAGATAACTTACCAAAGAGAGAAGTCAGTTCACAGTTTTTGTGAATGATTCTTGCAGTGTTAACGCATCTCTTTATGTGTCCTGGGGGACTTTCTGAATTAATGACCACAAAGTTCATGCACTCCAAAAGCTACCTGATGCAAGTACAACTAGAAAATCTGATAATCAGATAAAAACACAATTCATAAGAAAAATGCTGCAGATGAACAATCTCCTATGAGACTGCAGTACTCTCACTGACCCCACGGTGGCAGTGTAGAGCAAAGCACGCACACTTGCACGTCCACACACATGGAAGCTTTCTCATTTCTCTAATTCCCCTCCTCGACTCCTTTCCTCGTGTCTTAGTCCCGCCCACAGGAGATGCGAGCGGAGGGGAACCGAGGAGAGAGGAGGGGAAGCAGCAGGCGTTTAGAGAAATGAGAAATCCTCTCTGAGCAGTCATTTTAAAGAGACGTCCATTAATGATGACAGGAGGCACAGCAGCCCTCTGTCTGATGGACAGAACTGTGTTCATGACAACGTATATATTTACTTTTAATTCATTGACAGTGCGGTATAATGAGACAATAACAGGCTACAGATGCGGACATATACACACACACACATATATATTTATATATATATTCATAATTTCATATATACAATTTCAGAATCAAACAAGTATGAGAGCACTCTCATAATAACGTAACACTATCAGAGACTGGATATACCCCCCCCCCCCTCTCTCTGGTTGCTACAATGGGGGAACTGAAATTACGGGCCAAAAGTTTTATTTACAAGTATTTAAAGTAAGCATAGGACACCAAACCAACTGAGACCCGTCTGTCCGCCGCATCTACGCACACACACACACACACACACACACACACACACACACACACACACACACACCTACACACTGTACAACACACACCTACACACTGTACCACACGCACCTACACACTGTACAACACGCACCTACACACTGTACCACACGCACCTACACACTGTACAACACACCTACAGGCCCTGCGTGTGGTACAGTGTGTACAGTGTGTACAACACGCAGCTACACACTGTACCACACGCAGGGCCGTCCCTCCCTACAGGAAGATCACGCAGACTGCGTGGGGCCTCACCTCGCGGAGGGGGCCTCATCTTGCGGAGGGAGCCTCAACTGAGCCGCAAATGCGGCGCACCTATGCGTTTATACGGCGCAATTAGTGTGGCGCGGCACGGTGTCGCCGAGGCTCCACTAGCACTCCTCTAGGTAAAATAATAGTTTTATCATGCCAAAAAGCTGCTGTGTCGTTTATTGCACCTCAAACATTAAAACAAATCCAGAGTTACGTTTTTCTGTACTTCCTCTAAGAAAAAAGTACAGTAAAAGAAGAGCTCTGTGGCTTCAGCCTTGATCGCCATTCAAATGACAGTGTTGTTTCCCCCAAAAGTGGGCGGGGCTGTAATTTTCGCCCGGAAGTGACGTAGATGTTACTCTCATCTATGGACATCGATCGCCTACTGCTATATTTAACCATATATCGAGCCCGATCGTCGATTTCCAACGATTTAATGTAATTGTTTGCCTGTCTGGCCATTGTAATCGGGATCTTTGAAGATCCAAAAATCCACGGTTTTCTTACATTTCTGATCGGATTGGCAAAAACTTCTGAATTTGAATTGACCGCCATTCAAATGACAGCTTTGTTTTCCCCCAAAAGTGGGCGGAGCTGTCATTTTTGCCCGGAAGTGACGCATTTGTTACTCTCATCTATAGAGTGCCGAAGTCCCTCCCTTTCCGGGGGACCTCCATGGGACCTTATTTCGGAAAAAGTATGTATTGAAGTCAATGGCGATCCCGTTTGAATTGTGCCACGAATTACACATATGTTTGTCAATTTAAAAGATAATTTTGCAAGTCAATTTTTTTTAAATATGTCGTAAAACTGTCAAGTAACACTTTTTTTTGTGTGAAACCGCTCAATGAACTACATCTCCCATCTCGCACCACACACCAAGACGGCCGTCACGTTGGCACATTTCACTTCTTTCTTTCAGAATGAGGTGAAAAGTATTAAAAGAGGTGAAAATCACTACAAGTCTGGGCATGTTGAGAGCTGTACATACACACAAGGGGAGTTAGTCGGTTCGTAAGAGCCAGCATGCGG